CCCCACTACTCCTCTGGCCTCTTGGCTGTTCTGCCACCTGCCTCCACACTACAAAGACACAGGGGATACTGGACCACCAGACCACCGTACTGGGTAAGTTGGAGGGATCATCAGCTCCCATTGGAACCTGGACTTCCTTCAGGGGAAAGGCAGCTGAAACCTGCAATAGCACCTTGCAGAGTGCAATCCTGCAGGAGGACAGGGAGCTCAACTTGGGACTTGCAGCCAGAAATCTGCCTGCATCTCACAGGTTTGTGACTGGCTTGCTGAGACTCATCTGCATACTGCTACCCATGTTGTCTATTGTGACAGCAGAGACATACCCTGCAGGAGGCCCTTCATTTTCTTTTTTTTTTTATTTCCAAAATTAGTATTATTGGTTTGTTTTCTTTCTCCTCTTATCTTTAATTTTTTCCTACTCTTTGCAAATTTTTGTTTTTCTCTCCTTTTTTTCTTCTTTCTTTTCTCTTTCCTTTCTCTCTCTTGCACTTACTCTCTTGCTGTCCCACATTGTTCATCTCCCTTTTTGTTCATATTCTGGCCCTCATTTGGATTTCTTCTTTATTTTTCTATTATTCTTTTTTTCCTTCTCTTGGCTGTGTCCTCTGGCCTCACTGCTAAACTTCCCCTATCCTTCTACCTATCTATCCCTCCCTCCACAACTCCTTCTAACTCCCCATCCTGAAGGGTAGAGTTGTTATATCAAACAGTTTATTCACTATAAATGTATGTTGGGTTGGTCCTCGATTTTGATTTAATTCACACAGTTAAAGGTGATAGATTAATAACTACCACAAAATGTCATTTTCTATGATGTACTTGATGCCATGGTGTTGCTGATTGTATCACTTGGGCTAAGGTGTTGTGATTGATCTAGTCAGTGGTCCTGCCTGGTATAATGAAAATGAGAGAGCCTCAGAGTCATTAGAGACTCAAAATTTAAAGACCAGCTATATCTGGAAGACACCTCTGAGAAGCAATCATCCATAAGGGTTCTAATTACAAGCAACAAAGATACTTACAATAAGCAATATCGAAGTATCAACCCAGGAGTTAAACCAAGGACAGTACCAAAAGCAAAAATGAGAAGACATTTAAGCATGGCACAAACTCAGATTTCCACCCCACCAAGGGTAAACACTGTGGGAAATGAGGTGGAAAAGTCTGATAATCAACCAACTGGACACCCTGAACTGATACCACAGGAAGTAACAAAACAGATGAATGAGGTCCTAGAAAAATTCAAAGCAGAAATGATCTCCCAGATAACTACAGAGATGGTGAGCTGAGTGAAAGACATGATTAGAGGCTCTAGAACAGAAACAGATAAAAAAAAATAGAT